AGGTCACGCAGGGGTGACATCACACCAGCTTGCCGTGGTAAATCAGAGGCGAGCCCATTTAGGAGGCACCCCGTAGTCTTTCAAGTGCTTCTACTGATGAGTGTCTGTTTCTGTCTTCAGTGAAACACAACTGGGACACGATGAAGACCGCTGTTAACAACTACATTGGCTCCCTGAACTGGGGCTACAGGGTATCACTGAGGGACAAGAATGTCAACTATGTCAATGCCTACGCAGAGTTTGTGGAACCACACAAAATCAAGGTAACCGACTGCTTTCAATGAAAATGAATCTTCAATAAAGTCATGCAGAGGTTTAGTCGTTTCATAACTTAATAAAGTCTTCGTTCTCTGCTTGCTCATGTTACCATTTCGCAACCTGTTACTAATCTGTGTAAGCTGTCAGCTTTGAAATCATCCTGTTGCATTAACTGTTATTTTTGTGTCCTAAACAGGCTTTTCAAAAATACTTATCGGTGTTTAGAAGTTGTTGGCTGTCGTTGCAATCACCTCACTAGTTGCACAAAAAGCAGATGTTTCAGAAACATCCACTACATTGAAAAGACTTCCTGTTATGTTGCATGTGTGTCAAAATATCTGTTTGTTTCCTGACAGGCTACAAACAAACGAGGGAAGGAGACGTTCTACACAGGAGCCAAGTTTGTTTTGGCTACGGGCGAGAGGCCACGTTACCTGGGCATTCCCGGAGACAAGGAGTATTGCATCACCAGGTGACAGCACCGTGCTGAGTACACAGAATCTGACAAATTATGTTATAGTGTGAGTGAGTGAAGCTCCACCCAGAGCTCCTTTTTAGACCAGTGGATGGGTTCATGGGTGAAATAAGTGTCACTTCCTTAGGGTGTGATCTCTGAAAACAAACCTGCCCTTATATGATCCAGCAGGTTGTTGTGCCTCAGAGCAGCCGTCTGTCTGCCTGCTCTGTGAATGCTGTGAGATTATCCTCAGGTGTCTTTGACGATTATGCTCCTGTCTTGGCAGAGAGGCTCATTTATTCCACAAGGTCTTAAACCAGAGCTTTCTGAACACTGTAAGAAACAAGCCTGGGCTTGGTAGGGTTTATTCGGGGATTCTCTTCGGCTCTCACAGCTGTTGTTGGACAGTCAGCCAGATTTGGTACTTTTGTTGTCAGCTACTGAAATTAAGCTACACATCCTATAGCTCATACCTGAAAACACATAGGATAAGCAGTAATACGGGATATGGTTGATTTATTTGTTGGGACATGAAATATTTATTTATTTGAAAATCTTTGAAAAAAAAAAAGAAATGAATTTAATTTTTAGTGACCAGCTTGTAGGAACAGAGTGCAGGGCAGCACTGAGCAACATCATGAACCTTGTTCTATTAAATAATCCGCAGTGTGGCTCAAGGCTTTGAATAAGTATTAGACAGCATCTCTCCACACCCTGTGAGGTAAAAAGAAAAAATAACCTGAAGGTCTAGATCAGCAGAAGCAAGTGTCACACCTGCTAAATTCTTTGTATGCAAAACTAGCTGCACAAAAACCTGCTTTGACTTCACCTTGTTTTTGTTTGTTTTGTTTTTTGTTTTTTTTTTACAGTGATGACCTCTTCTCGTTGCCTTACTGCCCGGGGAAAACTCTGGTGATCGGAGCGTCCTATGTGGCTTTGGAGTGTGGCGGCTTTCTGGCCGGCCTCGGGCTCGACGTCACCGTCATGGTACGGTCCATCCTGCTGAGGGGCTTCGACCAGGACATGGCCAACCGCGCTGGTGAACACATGGAGGAGCACGGTGTCAAGTTCCTCCGTAAATATGTACCCACAAAGGTGAGCGTGAACACAACCTGCTGTTTGTGATTTAGCTTATTGATCTCGGAGTATGCCTACATGCATTGGTAATAGCTGTAATCTTTAATGTTGTCAGGTCATGTGCTTAATAGGCCAACATTAATAGAATAGAATAGAATTCAACTTTATTGTCATTGCACATGCACAGGTACAGGGCAACAAAATGCAGTAACAGTAAAAGCCTTTGATTTATAGTGAACGCAGTAGGTGGTCAGTAGACTCTGATCAGCATATAGATGAATGATGTTTTAAGCCTTTTCTCTTCAATTATGTGTGTCAGATAGAGGAGCTTGAAGCAGGAACTCCTGGCAGGCTGAAGGTGACCGCCAAGTCCACAGAAACCGACGAGATCATCGAGGGAGAGTACAACACTGTATGTATCGCTTCGGTTTTCCTTCACCCCTCTCTCTGCTCCGTCGTCATGTATTTCCGCCACAAGAGTAAACGGTTTCTCTCACAGCTTATTTCTGTGAAAGAAACGACATTTAGTATTGCAATAATCACTATTCTGTGGTCACTTTAATATTAATCGGGCTCCGTAGTGTTTAGGGTACTTTTCCTTTTTTTTTCTTTTTTTAAACTCCCACTTTTACAGTTTAACTCAACCAAAGATATGATGTGATATGTTGAGATACTGCCATGTAATCATCTGCTCTCATGTTAGTGTTGAGAAGATGCCATGTCTCTGGAACAATTGGCAGTGACAAAGGATTAATATCACACTGTATTAAAACTAACAAGCTGAGTTTTTGTTCTTCAGGTGTTGATCGCAGTGGGCCGAGACGCATGCACAGACAAGCTCGGCCTGGACATGGCAGGAGTCAAAGTCAACCCAAAGTAAGTTCAGTATGTTGTTACTGCCGAGGAGGCCATGTTTCGGGTGTATTTGCACGTGTCATTAAATCATCATTAAACTTGATAGGTCAAACTTTTTTGTGGCTTCTGTAGGCATGTAGAGTGGGTCCGAGAAACTATGATTGTGACAATCTGGTGTGTATTCCAACACATGGAAATTTTAAAATCTTTATATGGTATTAGCCTGTCACATTTGACCTCTGGCCTCTCCTTCAAGGTCAAATGAGATCAAGCTTTCATAAAATGTCTCATCTTTAAAACTATTTTTAAAAGTTTGCATCCAAATATCATGTGAGACTTGACCTTTGACCTCACATTTACGTTTCACATCTGTCTTTCTGTCCAATTGGCCCGAAATGTGTTATATCTTGGAATGAGATAGAAATATACTGTAGTATAATATTTTACTCAACTGCAAACTTCTCGAAGACCAGAGAAAACACAGTGAATGTACAGAAAATACAATTAAAAGTAAACACCGCCCAGGGTGAGCTGGCTTGATTTGCTCTCGGAGTGCTTGTACGTGTGTTCCCCTGTCCCTTTAATGCTCGCAGTACAGTCACAGTGATTCAGCAGTTCTTGCTGCTCAGGGCTCTCTGCGCGGTGTGAGTGTTGGGGGAATTCGGTGGGGAGGTGAGGGGTGGCTTGTGGGTAAGATGAGAACACTGCTGTAAATCATTGGTATTAAGTGACAGAACAACGGAAGTATCTATATTAAAAAAGTTCATGCAGTTCATTATTGATGCTGTTGATACCAGTATAGAAATGCAGTGTTTTCTATAAGGCTTTCTTTCCACTCTTGTGTGAATAACTGAATGGCTGAGCCTGTGTTGTGAGGCCTGCAGGGATTAAGACAGCATGAGTCCAGCTTTAAAGAGTGTTCTGAGTCTCATGACCATAGCCATTTTTAGTTGAAGCCCAGCGTTAGCCCGAGGGCTTCTGTGCTCAGGGGCCTGTGGCTGTTCTGCTCCTGCGCAGTGCAGAATACTGCCAGTGATTTTGGATACTACTACAAGTGTGCTTCTCCTTTTTGCTAAGTATGAATGACCGCATAGCCAGTTATCCATTTCTGCTTTGTCACTGACACTCAAACGTTTATCTGTGTGGTGCTCTTTAACCTTGTTTCCTGCAGGCTTTTTGCTGAGTGTATAACTCTTTTTGGTGCTTTCTATAACGGTCCCCAGTCATCTACACAATGTCAGGCTTATTGTAAATATTTATTATAAAGAAAATATCTGTTATTCACAGTTAATAGAAAATTACACATTAATTTTTATTGTTACACCCACTTAACTTTGAACTTCAACACTCGGATATTTAATTTGAAGTCACAAAACGGGATAAAAGTCTTAAATGTATGCTCGATGATCCCATCCTGCAGGAATGGAAAAATTCCTGTGAATGATGAAGAGCAGACCAACGTGCCCCACATCCATGCCATTGGCGACATTCTGGAAGGCAAGTGGGAGCTGACACCTGTAGCCATCCAGGCTGGCAAGCTGCTGGCCCGACGCCTCTACGGAGGATCAACGGTCAAAGTAAGTACAACGTGACTGTGTCATGATTTCTGACTGTCATTCTAAAATCTATTTGTCCATTAAACTACAACCAACTCAATACTACCAGACATAAAGTGTCTGAACGGTCTCTTAGTACCTATTTAAGGTGCATAAAGACCTGTTTCGTTGGAAGGAAACTGAATGTTAAGGTGCCATTAAGACTAATCTTATTTTAAAGAGGTATAGTGTTAAAATCTGAAGTAAGCCATTGAAAGGGAAGGACATAAAGAAGGTCAGAGTGTTTTGTGCTCCACATGATGAATCTG